GGGTAGACCCTTTGCGGGAGCAGGAGGTACGCCTCTTAGGGTTTGGCCCCGTCTGCTGATGCGTATGTCTTGCGGATCGCTGGAGCTTCCCGCCAGTCTATCCAGACGTAAGAGCATAAGCCGGGCGCTGTCGATGAACTGAAGCTGGCCGAGACTGAACGAGATGTAATTCTCGGCGTTGATGGGGATGCAGGTGACCTTCCTTCAGTCTTGCGATAGTCTGTATGATGAAATGGCTGTCGTAGCCCCCGTGGTTGTAAAAAGATAAACCGGTATGGTTGTCGTCTTCGGACTGAGCAGCAACTTGAGGCGGCACTCATTGTGGGCCGCCCCTCGGTACTTGCCAGTAATGGGGCAGTGGTCTCGCACGGAATCGTCTTCGAGGGGCTTGCTGCAACGTGACAGGTTGCGACTTTCTGTACCCCCAGTCTTTTCCTGTCATGTATATGCTCGGGTTAGCCAACACCGTCTTGATCTTTACAATCTTCTTCTTGGAGGGCATCCAGGAAATGCTTGGCCGCGTTAGGCCCTCGGTAGAGTTGCGCTGGCTGCGTTTCCCGTCAGAACAAACGACTATAAACGAGTAGCCGCATGCCTCGTGCCTCTAGGTTTGTTGGTTTGCCTCGAATTTGCAGACCTGGCCTCGAAGTCGGCATATAGATTATGAAGGAGGTTTGAGCTGCTGTGGTAGTTCTCAAAGGTGACTTTGTCATTTTTCCAGGGGTTGGCATTCTGATGGTTGCCTCTGACATTCAGGCTTATGCTCTTCCATCAAATCCTGTCTGGTGAAGCGTGAAGGCACGCTCACAGAAGCGGGTAGCCGGTGGTATCCTTCGATTTCGGTTGGGAAGGCGGTTAAGGTTCTTGATCCAAGTGTAGTGTTTTTTCAGGATTTTTCGGAATCGAGACGAGGAAGAGATTAACAGTCTTGCGAGCTCTCTCTACTTTGCTCAGACGGCAAGGAATGACGCCGCCTTCCCAACCATACACCTTGATAGCACAAGTTTTGACGCTCTACACGCCTGGAGCTGGGAGAAAGCGTGGGAGTGCCTACCTCCGCAAAAGTCAAGGCTGCTTTTAGTGGGATATTTGCCCGGCTGTTGCGGGTCTTTAATTGCAGGTTGGCAAAGCGCAGCCCTTTAGAGACCAGCGAAGGCAGTCGTGGTCTTTGTTTTTCACGTTGATGATTGCCTTCTTTATCTTTGACCGCGGTGGGGAGAGGAAAGTATGAGCCTCCGCGTAAAGGCGGTGGTAGGAGCGATGTCAAGCCAGAGTGTTTTGACATGATCCACTATCCACCCAGATCCTTCCTGAGTGAACTTTCTGATCTCCAGAATAGTTTGGAAGGCGTCATGTAGGGATTGGTGGAATCTCATGCTCCTGTAGCAGCGTGATCTGCTTTGTCTGGAACACTGGTGCTTGAAGCACTTCAGTACCATTTCCTTCCATCCTCCGAAGCTCAACTCTACAGCCAACTGAAACTTAACTCCTCGTAGAGCCAATAGCTCCTCGACAAGTTTGAGTCTGATGTAGGGCTGGGCGTTGATAGGGAAAGCCATCAAGTCGCGTTCAAAGGTGCCCCCTTCGGCATCTCACTTTTCCAGGCTCAGATGATAGCTAGGAAGGCCTCATTTCATCCCAATTTGTTCTGTAGGTGGTGGGGAAGGAGCCCTGTGGGGCGTTGTGGTCTGCGCCTCAATGACATCTCAGCCAGAAGCTCATCGATGTATGCATCAATTTCATCATCATCGGTAGACTTGACGGGCTGGCGCGTGGTTTGGGATATTTGGCAGCGGCTTGGGGATAGGCGGAGGATATTTTGGGGTGGGTGTTGAGGCAGCGGACGGTTGAAGAGCCTTATGAGAGGCGTTTAGCGCGTGTCCGCTTGGTCATATAGTTGCAGAAGTTTATTAACAGTATCCATCTCGAGTGTCGCAAATCTCGTTGGTATGCATTAGGGGAGATATTTTTCTAAATCAAAATCAATTCTAAATTTCGAAATCAATTCTAAATGTCGAAATTAATTCGGCGAGTACGCTAGCAAACCTTTTTCTTGCTTGTTTCTGTAAACAAACATATGCTGCACCCTATTCGCACCGCAGGCTTTACAAAGGATACTTTCTGCTTGTGTTCCGACCCCATTACGGCTGTGAAGTCGTTTCTTGCCTTCCTTAATCGCCTCATATGAAATCCGCAGTATTCACCCATGCAGCCGTCTACATGTGGTGAGCTTTCCGGATAATAACCACGCACACTTGTTCTTGCCCTGCCTCATGGCTTCGAATGTTTGGATATACAATATGTGAGAATTTATGTCTAAATAAATAATAGACCCCCGACGGCCGGCTGCGGAGGCGCTGGGGTGGGCCGCCCGTCTTTGCTCCAGCAGTTGTCCTGAGTTTGGTCTTTGCGTTATCCGGTGCGATTTTGTGCCGAACTATGTGCTTACTGTGTGCTTACTATGTATGTGAACCACGTACGCGAACTAGGGCTGGGCGCTTAGATTTGTGTATACTCCTTCTCAAACTGCGAAGTGCGCCAGAACCGGTGCGATTTTTGTCGGGACCCATATATACAGTACGAACTAGGGCTGGGGCGCTCAGATTTATGTATGCAGCCTGCCAGATGGTAAGTGTGCCAGAACCGGTAGTCTCTATACTACTCATTATGACATGGCATCTGTGAATGTCAAGCGCATCACTGACTCAGAATTATTTATTATCAAACTTTTCTTCGTGTAAGAGCCGCAATTTTTATAGTGGATAATTTGAAACAAAAATGAAACCTACTTTCCAGTCGTGGTATTAAATATAGCTTTAAAAGTCACTTATAGAATCATTCGGAATGGAAATAAACATTGATTTGTTTATAGTCATACTTCATACTACGCAATGCTTTGTATCAAATTTGTTAAGTTAGAAATATAAATACAAAATCTCGGTTAACTTACGTAAAATTACCTTTGTTTTAGAAATAAGACTTCATATACGACGATCGTGTGGACAAAATTATGCTTGCTTTAGTTCTTTACATGTTACGTACCTAACAAAAGATGAAAATTTAATATAAAAAACGCGACTAAATACATATCAGTTAAAAAATGGAGATCATAATTCATACATTATTGAAACATCAAATTTTTATCCATATGAGTTTTGTTACATACAACACATTTAAATAACAACAAGATCCAACAGTGAGCAGTCTCCTTCAACAAACAGTCTAATTCTACAACAACCAATACATCACCTCCAACTACAACAATGCATCATGCAACTACAACAACCGAAGAACCTCATGTAACAACATATAACATCCAGCTTCTAACAAATCCAAAGCACTACTGCAACAACAATGCATCACAACTTCTAACACAACAATACGATGCATCACCTGCATCTAAAACAACCAATGAATGTCATTGACTTATGCACACGATGTTCGCAACAAAATGGATTCTCCATTCCTAAACAAAAATTCCATACGATAAACGATGCATCACTCAATTCATTATAAAAAATCTTGCATTAAATAAAACTTTGCATCATCATGAATCATTTTAAAACATCAACTGCACTCCAACCTATATAACGATGCATCACCTGCAACTCCTGTGATAACAATGCATCACCTAAACTGAAATAACCGATGCATCACCTGCACAAACAAACTGATGCATCACCTACAACTCCAAATATCGATTTGCCTACAATACACTTTACCAAACATTACCTAGTCTCGTTTCAAACGCATACTTTCCACCAAATGGAGCAGCATATTTCCTCTACTCGGTGATGCTTTGATAGGAGTTTAACCACAATCATCAATCTTTATGTCCACCTCACGCTTTAATATTTAAACATTTACAGCTTTCGTCAGCGTTTAAGAAAAATATCCCAAAGGGTTAATAGCCTTAAAGAGTTTGCCTTTGATAGAATCGTTGATGAAATACAAACGCCCGACCAGGACCATAAATAGAATGTTGATTCATATACTCAGTTGTGCCTGACTGAGTTCTTTTGGAAGTGAATTTGTTGTAAATAAAATAAGCATTTAACAAACATCCAAAATCGTCATCTACTTTAGGTGGGAAGCCTGATGCATTTGTCCAGGGCTGTATTGATGCTCACAACAACTACAGACAAAGGCACGGAGCACCTCCATTAACGTGGAATGTGGATCTACAGATTAGAGCTCAGGCATGGGCGGATCAGATGGCTACAACAGGCATCCTCTCCCACGATATGAAAGGAATAAATAAATTTAACGACGGAGAAAATATCGGCTTTAATAAAAGTGAAATATATAAACCATTATGCCAAGGAGTTCGCTCTCCAAATTGCTACCATTGTAGCGAAACGGTAGATTTGTGGTATTCAGAAAACCAAAACTACGATTATCAGCGAGCGACAAGCACCAATGGCAGAACATATCTTCACTTCACCCAGGTAAGAAAAAACATAACAATAAAACAAAATGATGACATATACAATGTAAAGCTAACGGAAATAAGACTATAGCTCTGTTTCTCGTGTAAAGTCACCATTGCGGAAAGTTATGGAATCACTTAAGATAAAGAATTTAAATTTGTCTTTACTGTTGTGACATTTGCAGCTTGAATGGATGGAGACAAGTAAAATGGGTGTCGGCGTAGGAGTACGTAAGGTCTACGGTTTGAATTTAAAGACATCCTTTGATATTTACACGGTTGTAAAATATTCACCAAGAGGAAATTATGGATATACCGATGACTATTTGAAGAATGTAAAGCCAGGTATGGGTTGAATTACTTGATTTCTTTCCCGAAGAATAACTCACAAAACACCATCCACATTCATTGACATGATCTCTGGCTTGCTGGGTATGTTAGTTTCTTTGCGTGCATGATGTTTTGTTTGCACTCACTATCAGGAACGCTTGCTTAAGGGAAGGAGTAGTTGGATGGAATGGATTTTAACGGTTCCAGAATCGAATTCTCGATAAAAGTAGCCATTAGACAGCCCGTCATTTTGTAGTGCTGTAAACCTTATCATCAGCTTTAAGATTGAGGATTAGTTGGATGGAGTTGATTTTATAGATTCTAGAATCTACTTCTCCATAAAAGTAGCCATTCGACAGCCCGGAATTTTGTAGTTTTGTAAACCTTGTCATCAGCTTTAAGATTGAGGATTAAGTGGATGAAGTGGATTTTAAAGACTCTACAATCTACTTCTAGATGAAAGTAGCCATTCGATAGCAAGTCATTTTGTAGTTTGGCAAAAACCTTATCACCAGCTTTAAGATTGAAAATTTTGCTTTTATAGTGTTCAATCAAAATTCAGGTATTTCCACCTCAATAAGACGCGATCTAACTTTTGTAATATCTGTGTCTGAAGTTTACTGCAATTATTTACTTGCAAGATGACTTTTAAGTCGACTACACATACTTAAATTGTTTTGTACTATTTTTTCGTCAATAAAACCAGAAAGAGGAGCGCAAGCATTCATGACGTTTATTCAAAAAACTCGCACGCCATATAACTTCAACCGAGATTGCCTTGCGACCCATAATACATTGCGAGCTCAGCATGGTGCACCTTTGCTTACATGGAGTATCGAGTTAGAGCGCCATGCCCAAGAATGGGCAGACAATCTGGCAAAACGAGACGTTCTTGAGCACGACAGAGTTGGTATGAAAAAGTACACGGAAGGTGAAAACATAGCTTGGCTCACAAGTGAAAGAAAGGTCTGTGAGACGGAACTTTCTGGCGATTGCATACCATGCAAAAGGATCGTACTTTCCTGGTACAACGAGGAAGGCAATTACGACTATTCAAAAGGGAGAGCAAAAGCACAAGGACTGCCTGTTCTTCATTTCACTCAGGTATGTTGAAATGCAGCAACTACAAAAGCATTTGAAGATATAGTCGCAGCCTGACAAATCAAAAATAGAGTATGCAATGGAAAATTACACAAGCTTATCTCATTTAGATCGTATGGAAAGCAACAAGAAATTTGGGATTAGCTTCAGCTGTCACCCCGACAAAAAAGGTTTTGTTCGTCGCTCGCTATACGACACCAGGAAACAGAGGAAACACGCAGGCATTTTTGGACAATGTCGAGCCAAAAAGTACTTCTGCAAATGCTTCAACCATAACATTCACAGGTGATTTTTCAAAGCCAACAATGACATTGAAGGCAACGCTAAAGATGTTGCCCAACAAGAAACCATCAATTTACCGACCATTACAGCTTCCATCATTCGTCCTTATGATATTTCTCATTCAACACCAACAACGACTTCCGTCAGCAATTCTTCAACAGTTAATGATGTCAGAGATAACGATAAATTTTTTGGTGAAAGGGATTTTCGGATGCGCGAAGATTTTGCAACTTTTCAAAACAATTTTGCGAATCTAGATTACTTTGCAAATGATTGCCTTTCGACACACAACGAGCTGCGTGCAAAACATGGGGCTCCACAATTGAAATGGTCACGTGAACTGGCCAAGGATGCAAGGAACTGGGCCGAATATCTGGCGTCCACAAATAAAATGGAGCATGACGCCAAGATATATGGCAAAAAACATGAAGGTGAAAGCATTGCCTGGCTTATTCCGGCCAAGCCGAAATGTTCACAAGCAGATGAAAAAAACTGTTTCAAGTGCAGTGAAATAATCAAGAAATGGTACAAGGAGGTGGACAATTATGATTTTACATTGGGAGCATCAAAACATGGATCAACTGAGCATTTTGTCCA